TGTAGGAGGGGCGCAAAAGTGCCTCCCTCGGGGCCCCGTGGCCGCTGCCAGTTTTGAGGACTCAAGCAGACCGATCCATAGAGAAAAGGCAGCAGGAGCCGTGAATGCTGCTCCCCACCTCAAGAGAGCCTTGGCCAGGGCTTCCCGAGCCAGAAGCGCATTGGGACAAGCTCCCACACCCCCCCGCCACCATACCCCTGAGTCACTGTGGGCTGTTCAACCCCTTCTGCACAACACAGAGAAACCCCGGGTGCTCCGCGCTGCGGGTCCGGCCTCTGCCCGCTCTGCCATCCCACTGCCCACCACAGGCCTCGGCACAGGGAGCCCGGTGAGCTCAACCACCTGCCTCGGAGCCCTGGCAGAGCTGCGAGCATCTCGCCCAAGGCGCCAGGGTACCTCTACTGCCAGGCACCGCTGCTCACGGTGGCACCTGCTCCAGCAGTGCCGGGCCGGACCCTGCCCCAGCACCAGCAGCACCATCCGGCTGTCGCCCTCATCTAGCCCCTCCGGAAACTGAATGCCCCACACTGTTTTGCGGTTCCTGGACAGCACTGACACGTGGGCCCTCGACAACCCCGGGCCCTTGGTGGTGGCAAGGTGCTGGTCCCCAGGCCTGGCAAGCCCCCGGAGAGCCCTGGCACAGCATGGGCCCTGGCAGGATGTCCCAGGCACAAGGCAGCACCAGCGAAGGGCTTCATCCCAGGCCAGGCATGACCCACTCGCAGGGCTTTGCCGGGAGCGTCCAGCGCAGTGCAGGTGGGAGGGCAGGGAAGGAAATGCCTGGCCTTGGTGCTGCCCGGCCTGCGGCGCTCTGCGGCACTTGGGAAGCTGCTGGGAGAGACAGGCGCCAGACCGGGGCTGGGCGGGAAGCGCCAGGGGCCGGCATTGCCAGCATCGCCGCAGCCCGGGGACGCCCAGGACATCCCAGACCTGCAGGGCTGGCAGGACCAGCTCGGCTGGGGGAGGTGGCTCTCATCCTCCTTGTCCTCCTCCTCTTCCTCCTGCTCAGCTGCTCAGCCCAAGCGGAGCCGGTGGCACATGTCCGAGCCCGGCGCCGGCCGAGCAGGGATGCACGGCTGGGCATGGCAGCATGGACAGGACCTGACGCATCTCTGGTGTCCAGCCTTGCAATCCAGTGGAAACCTATTCCCAGTGTGTGAGACGCTGCTGGGTGCTTCCCTACATCCTTCAGACGGGGCTCCTCCAAATCTCTGTGGGGAGAAAATAGGGCAGTCTGGGGGCTCAACATCATGGGGGATC